CAATGCATGTAGACCTATCATCTCATAATGGTAACTTTTGTTCTTGTGACAGGTAGGCCTGCATTTGCTGCAGCATAGTCTATGCTAAAATAATATAAAGACCGTATGCGCGTCTAATTTACCCATTTCCATCTGGCTTTCGGGGTCACCTTCATTTTTAATTGTAAAGATATATATTTTTTAATTGGAGTTGCAGTTTTAAAACAGCCTATCACTCGATCAGGCTCTGATCAGTCCCTACACCCAAACGAGGGTATTGCGTTCATCCACCTCTGGCCTGCTGGCCCCTGCGGAAGCACAGTTCCCGCTCAGCCCAGTCAAAACTGTTCGCTGCCCTGGCACCCCAATGGTGGAACAAGCTCCCTCACGACGCCAGGACAGCGGAGTCACTCACCACCTTCCGGAGACACTTGAAACCCCACCTCTTTAAGGAATACCTGGGATAGGATAAAGTAATCCTTCTACCCCCCCCTCCCCAAATAAAAAAAAATAAACATATTGTAAAGTGGTTATCCCACTGGCTATAAGGTGAATGCACCAATTTGTAAGTCGCTCTGGATAAGAGCGTCTGCCAAATGACGTAAATGTAATGTAAATGAATATCGTTGCTTTAAATTAGTGCACGCGCAAGCACCCTCTCGCAGTCTTTCTCTCCATCAACTCCATTCAAATTGCATCCAAATAGATAATCCTGTTCGAGATTGGTATGTAGCCCTATACAGTGCATTCCACATTTGTTAAATTACAGCCTTATTCTAAAATTGATTAAATTGTTTTTCTCCCATCATTCCTCTACACACAATACCCCATAATGACAAAAAATGGTTTTTAGACATTTTTGCTAATTTATAAATATCATATTTACGTAAGTATTCAGACCCTTTACTCAGTACTTTGTTGAAGCACCTTTGGCAGTGATTACAGCCTCGAGTGTTCTTGGGCATGATGCTACAAGCTTGTCACACCTGTATTTGGGGAGTTTCTCCCATTCTTCCCTGCAGATCCTCTCAAGCTCGGTCAGGTTTGATGGGGAGCGTCGCTGTACAGCTATTTTCAGGTCTCTCCAGAGATGTTCGATCGGGTTCAAGTCCGGGCTCTGGCTGGGCCACTCAAGGACATTCAGAGACTTGTCCCGAAGCCACTCCTGCATTGTCTTGGCTGTATGCTTAGGATTGTTGTCCTGTTGGAAGGTGAACCTTCGCCCCTGTCTGAGGTCCTGAGTGCTCTGGAGCAGGTTTTCATCAAGGATCTCTCTGTACTTTGCTCCTTTCATCTTTTCCTCGATCCTGACTAGTCTTCCAGTCCCTGCCGCTGAAAAACCACCACCATGCTTCACCGTAGGGATGGTGCAAGGTTTGCTCCAGACGTGATGCTTGGCATTCAAATAGTTCAATCTTGGTTTCATCAGACCAGAGAATGTTGTTTCTCATGGTCTGAGAGTCCTTTAGGTGCACTTTTGGCAAACTCCAAGTGGGCTGTCATGTGCCTTTTTACTGAGGAATGGTTTGCCGTCTGCCACTACCATAAAGGCCTGATTGGTGGAGTGCTGCAGAGATGGTTGTCCTTTTGGAAGGTTCTCCCATCTCCACAGAGGACCTCTGGAGCGCTGTCAGAGTGACCACCGGGTTCTTGGTCACCTTCCTGCCCAACGCCCTTCTCCCCCGTTTGCTCAGTTTGGCCGGGCGCCCAGCTCTAGGAAGAGTCTTGGTGGTTCCGAACTTCTTCCATTTAAGAATGATGGAGGCCACTGTGTTCTTTGGGACCGTCAATGTTGCATACATTTTTTGGTACCCTTCTCCAGATCTGTGCATCGACACAATCCTGTCCCGGAGCTCTACGGACAATTCCTTCGACCTCATGGCTTGGTTTTTGCTCTGACATGTACTGTCAACTGTGGGACCTTATATAGACAGGTGTTTGCCTTTCCAAATCATGTCCAATCAATTGAATTTCCCACAGGTGGACTCCAATCAAGTTCTATAAACATCTTAAGGATGATGAATGGAAACAGGATGCACCTGAGCTCAATTTCGAGTCTCATAGCAAAGGGTCTGAATACTTATGTAAATAAGGTATTTCTGTTTTTCATTGTTAATACATTTGCAAACATTTATACAAATCTGTTTTCACTTTGTCATTATGGGGTATTGTGTGTAGATTGCTGAGGATTAAAAAAAAATGTAATCCATTTTAGAATAAGGCTGTAACATTACAAAATGTGGAGAAAGTCAAGGGGTCTGAATACTTTCCGAAGGCACTGTATTTTCCACGTTGATTCCACATCACAATACGTTGACAAATTACTTTGAAACAACAGTGATTCAACCAGTGTGTGCCCAATGGGACCTGAGAGTGCATGTGTCAAAGGAAGTTGTGGTGAGAGAGACTTGTGAATGAATACATTGTAATGTGACTCCAAAAGCAGTCAGTTTCAAAATCAACACATTGTACAGGGATGTAGAGCATGGCGTTTGCAACGCCAGGGTTGTGGGTTCGATTCCCACGGGGGTCCAGTATGAAAAAATAAAAAATAATAATTCTTCATGTATGCACTCACTAACTGTAAGTCGCTCTGGATAAGAGCGTCTGCTAAATGACAAAAATGTAAATGTAAAATGTACATAAAAACACCCAATGCATACCCAGATTGAAAAACATTAGTGCATCACATGCTTTTTTTATTTAGTCCAACAATATGGCATTTCGACCATTTGTTACAAAAAATGTTGTTTAAATAAAATAGCAAACAGTTTAATGAGGTAAAAGCAGAGTCATTTAAGGCACATTTCTCAACTGTTATTATTATTACTTCTATGTTTTATGCTCAACTTCAAAACACCACAGTGGTTCTGGCGGAATAAAAAACAATAAGGAGTAGCTTTCCTCAGGAAAGTTATTTTACATTAAATTATACAATTGTAGTATGTTAATTTCATAGTAATGAGTTCCTGATACCATGTCTCTTTCCTCAACATGTAGCCTAACCCTTATTAATACTGTATATTAAACCATACATTATTTCTTGTTGTTTCATGCTGGTAGTAATGCAATACAAGTTCACACAGTACACTTAAATTAATCATGAATTTTATGCCTCCGCCAAACGTTATTAAAATGACAATTTCTAAGCTGCATTGATGAAAGAGAAAGATCTGTCTGGATCTGGGGTTCAGTGCGGTTGTCTGTCTAAGCAAAGAAACATTCGAGGGACATTGTGGAGTGTTTCCAATAAAACGGGACTTGTCTTTTGGTCAGTGGTTAGAGTTCAAAATATGTACAGACCACATTTCTGTCAATGCCCTATAGCCACCTCCGAAGTCATAAAAAGGTGATTATTCATAACATAACCTCTTCCCCTTTTTAAAGCCATAGGTTTGCAAAAGCAAAGCAAACTGAGGAGTACCATTTGAAGGGAACATTTATGAAGATGTGGATCGAGACATTGTAGACAGCATAACATAAATTAGGCCAACATTTGAACTGATAACACATTTGTAGAGTAGATTATAATATTTTACTCTAATAGCGCTGATCCAAGCACACACAATGGCTAGGTAGGGTTTTTTATGTGGTCGGAATAGTCCAAATCATCTACACTTTGCTATTGCCCAATACTATAGTGTTTTCAAATGTAAAATCACAATCTGATGTCCAAAGGATTCCAAATCTCTCAGAAAAAGTATAATTGCACCATCCATTTCTATATGTTTTAGGGGTGTAGATGTCTAACAATACTTGAGACGGAAAACTGACCATTATCATACAAATACACATAAGATAAAGATAAGTATGATATAATATGCACTACCTTCAATTGGTTTGGTGTAACAAATAATGTTGTCCTTCTCATACACAGTTATATCAGTTACTGTATGGCAATGCTTTAATATTACATGTACCTGCATTCATTACAGTACGTTCTTTTTCGTATTTAAATGAGGAAAGAAGATCACCAAATGTTGAGCCTTGGCAACCATCGGTTGTTTGTCAGCCAATAGCAAATGCAGATAAATCCCCATCAGTGGCCAAATCCAATAATAACGTGGCATCTTGAACTTTGAAGATAATCAGTGCACTCTGTCAGGACAACAACTAGTGGCAGCAAAACCATAGACTGAGCCATGCTTTTTCTCAGAACTGCCTTTGGAGTCCGCAGTACATATTAGACCAACATTTTATACTGAAGGTGACCTTATAAGCTGTAAGCTTGTGGCTTTTCCTCTCCAGAAATGATCCAGAGAGACTTATGTAAAAAAACATCATGTCATTCCAAATGTATTAGGCTATATAGGAATAAAAAGCATGAAATACAAAACATTATTCAATGTCCCAATGTCTTCGTGCAACACCTCTATAAAAATGTATATATCTCCCGTATGGTTTGAGGACATTCCAGATGCACAGAGTTCATAGGGAGTCATGTAGTCTGAAGGAGTCTATGCAGTCTGTCATGTAGTCTATGGGTAGTTGTGTAGTCTGTCATGTAGTCTACATATGCCGACAAAGCTGCCATGTTGCAGTCAGTCAGTTCCCGAAAAGGAGAGGTCTAGTAGTCCACAGGCCTGGGGTGAGAGCTGAGAGCTGAGCTCTACTTGAGTTTATGCCTCAAATATAAAAAAGAGCAAAGCAGTCTGTCCTCCAACTTCGCAGGAAGTTCACCACTCACAGTTCAGCTCTGTGATAAGATGGGAGCCCTCTCGTTCCACAAGCCCTCTTCTCGCCAACCACACTTCCAGGCTGACTCCTGGAGTATAGCTGCCAAGCAACAGCCAGGTGGTGTAGAGTTCACCTCTGGACAAACTCCAAAATCGTTATGGTGAGACGATAGTAACAGGGTAAAGCAGGAAGCGTTCCTCCCAATATAGTTGTCCCATTGGCCTAAGGGCAGAATGTCTAATGCTGCATCTGAAATGGCACCCTATTCCCTATATAGTGCACTAATTTGAACCAAGTATTGTACTATATAGGGAATAGGGTGCCATTTCCGACACACTCAATGTCTATGAGAAGTCCAGTGGTCGAATCATCATGGTTGTTGCTCGTAGCGAGTAGCTGGGACCCTTAAAGTAGTGCCACTTGATGCCATTTAGCTTCCCGACGTGTTGCCCTTTGGTGAAGTACATTCCGTTGAGGTTGGACGGGCCGCAGGCGTCGAACCACCAACCTGGGCAGAGCAAAGAACAGGGGGGGAAACGGAGGGAGAGAATAAAAGAAAGACTGTAAACTTCACATTGAGTTCTCTGTTCTGGTTCTGTAATGTTGAACCTTGACAGTGTGCCACAGTGAACTCCAACACTAGCTATAGCAGTTGTTCACACATCATTACAAAGGTATCTGGTCACTGTGGTATAGGTACACAGGGGCTGCCTGTTGCTAACCACCTTTGGGACCTGTTTACTCTCAATGGTATTCAGAGAAAGGGTAGATGTGCATGGGTTTAAATAGGCTCTGTTGGGAATGGCATTCGTAAGAATTACATTCCCTGCATATGATGATGTTGCACCCCTTTCTTCTTCATGCTTAACCTTTGCATGGACCTTTTTATCCTCTTAGTAATTTCAGCAAAATACATTGCTAGCACCAAAAGAGCACATGAAAATGAGCAACACAAATCTTTCCATTTCAGGGAGGCATAGTGTGGCTGATGTGATGTGTCAATCGGAGGTTGACATATGGTGCGGAACAGCCCTTCCCCTCAGGCCTAAATGCCAGTGCCAGTATGGGCTGTGACATTTCACAGACATACCAGCGAGTCCCACAGTTAGTACTGCTGTCCTCGTCTTTGGCATGGGGATCACGTTGGTAAAGGTTTCCCATTGGTTCCCTGTGACTTGTGTTCCCATGGGGATTTATTCCGATTGGATCAGTATCCTCTGTTTCTAGGGCTGAGATTTTACTGTCTTGTAAAAACAGATGCCCCTGCTAGAAACACTTGGTGGTCTGTTTCCAGAACTGGATAGTCTTTTGTCATTGTCACCTCAGTATACTAGTGAACATTCAGTAGGTCTGGGTTAGGTCTGTTCACTATGACTGAGCTTGTGTATGTATGTAGGTCAGTGGAGGCTGGTGGGAGGAGCTATAGGAGGACGGGCTCATTTTAATGGCTGAAATGGAATAAATGTAATGGAGTCAAACATGTGGTTTCCATATGTTTGATGTGTTTGATACCTTTCCATGTATTCTATTCCAGCCATTACAATGAGCCCATCCTATAGCTCCTCCCACCAGCCTCCTCTGCTCTGATGTAAGTAATTGCCATACTTCAACAGACCCTGTTAAGTCTGACCTTACTTTCTTAATCTTTTTCTCCTCTTTGGTTACTAATGTTTTTCTCAATGTGTCTATTTCCCCCACCGCTTACCACTGCACTGATAATATGTAAATCTAAGTCAGTGCCCTGCTAAGCACATTGCTGGATTGTGAGACTGGCTGTTTTTTTTTTCAGCAACAGACCTGCCTAATTCTCAGTTGAAACATCGTCTTTTGTGTTTAATAGGCTAAATTACGCATTATTTTAACATATGACCCAAGAGTGTCCTGTTCTTTCAATTTGTAATCTATGACATTTCAGATTTAGATATTATAATTGATCCCTAATTAGTTTGGATGTAGTAAACTACTTTTTCAAAGTAACTTTAAGGGTACCTTTAGTGTAGCTCAACTTCTTCCATTGTGAAGTAATTGGTAGCTTGGTAAACTATATTTTCACCACTGCAGTGTGGTGCATTATGGGGACACCCTGGTACTTACCCCCTGTGAGCATGAGGGCACACTTGCATATGCAGTTATCATTGTCCATGTCCTTGGTGCTGAAGTCTGCTCCGTGGATCACCATACTGCTCTGTCTGCCAGCTGTCCCACTGTGACTCTTCAGGAACAGTCTGAGAGGAGGAAGTTGGAAAAGGAGGACAGAACAGACATAACACACTGTACGAGACCTCCTGAGAGTTATATTTTCAGCAGTGATTGACTGTGTGCATCTGCTCTGCAAACAGTCTCTCCCCTGAGTCAACATAAACGCAATAAAGAGAGAGAAAAGAGGGAGAAGGGTAGACAGAGTTGTCTGGAAAGCAACTTTTTTCACCTGCAGGGCTCAGAGCAGCCATTTACAGTATAACAGGAGCAGAGAGACTAAAGACCAAGTCATTAAGGGCTGACCCAGGTACAGCCCACTGATGCACCATCAAGTAGGCGACATACTGTTACTCTCCTCCCCTTAGTCCTGTATGTCTCAGATGCATAATGTCCCTCCTTATGTGTATGCACTATGCCCACTGTCTTCCCTCCTGTGTTAATACAGTACAGTATGATACAGTACTCTCTTTCAGAATGATCACAGAGGCCTCCTGCGCGTACTATGACAGGCCTATTACTATTACTGTATGGCAGGACCTTTTGTGGAGAGAAAGCATATTAACCCTAAGACATTGTATGTTACAGTATGGCAGGCCTGCTGTCTGCAGGGCGGCTCAGTCTAACCTGCACATGTGGAACCTGTAAATCAACCAGGGCTCCAGTTGTACTGGTGAGAGACGCAGGGAACCAGCTGACACATACTGGAAGGGGGGGGGGGGCAGCATCATGGAGCCCCAGTCTGGGGGCACCGTGGCTGGGGTGGGCTGAGATGGATGTCCCTGGATGGGTGGGTAATGTAATGCTGTTGTCTCATGCTGATCCACGGACATCTGCCATGTCCCCAGAATAGTGTGTTTTGTGGTGTTCTATTTTTAGGTTGAGTGACTGGCATTGCAAGTCCACAAGACATTGTCTATTGATGAGGTGATTGACAAGCGCAATCTTGCATCTCAAATTGAGATTTGTGCTACGATGTCATTAAGATACTTGACCTCGACTAATGTTGGATGCTTTCTGACTATTGATTAAATGATCAAATAGAGTCAATGACTCCAATCCATACACCTTGGGAATTTTCCTCATCGATCCACCCACTCCATTACTAACTTTCTCAGATCCGATCATCACTCTATCTTTCTCGCCACTCAGACCCTAAAAATTATCCTCAACTGGAAACAAATAGGGCCTATATGTGCCTAAACACACTTGAGGGTGTGTCGTTGTGAATTGTGAAATCACTCTTGGTATGAGAGCAGAAATGCTGTAGCGTGGGTCTTCTCTATCCTGCTGTGACCTGCATCATTAGGAGCTCGTTCTGAGGCCTGCCCTTCTCTAACCCACATTATCACACGCCTAAGAGCTTTCTCTCCCCAAAGATGGACTCTCAGAGCCAAGGAACACTGTTAGAGGACCATGCCAATGCGTCTGCTCTGCACTCTGAAACATGTTCTGTTGAGCAAAATAATTTCCTGAGATCCATTGCCGTCAATTGGAATGGACAGGGGAGTAGGCTTAGTCAAGTTGTGTTTTTTCCTTTGAGAAAGGTTGGAAAGACTGTTTTCTTTTTTTTTTGGGGGGGGGGGGGGGGATATTCACCTGCAATATGCACCTCCAACTGGTGGCAGTGTTGTGGATAAGAAAAGTGTGTAGCGAGAGACATCATGCCCAATGAAACTGAGGGGCGGTAAAATATATCCTACAACATCTATGTACAACGAATTAATGCAAATATATTATTTTCCGTTGCCCCTCAAAATGTAGTTGACTGATACTTCTGCTTGTAGCTGTGTGGTTTCAGGTTAGATTCATGAAGTTGAGACAATGGTCAGTGGTGTGTATTCTTGGAGCAAGTCTTTAGACAGCTGTGTAGATGGATGATTTGTACAGAGAGATGGAAAATAAGTGACTATGTCACTGTTGGGAATTCAACTAAGCTACTAAACCAATACTGTATTATGTAGTGGAGAGTCATGGCTCTAATGAGTGGTTATATCTGAATCAAAGGAAGGTTGGATGAATAGAACATGTTGAAATTAGACATGGTAGTAGAGTGATGAAATAGTGTGCATTTATGGGGGTCGGAGTGGAGTGTGTGTTTGTGTGTGTGGTGGGAGTAGTGAGTCTTCATCTGTGACACGTGCTGAAGCACGACTCTGACCCTTCAAGACTACAGAAGTCCTTGCAGAAACTCCACTGTAGGCCTATACTACTCATATCACAAAACACCGCTTGAGTTCCTGGCAGTGTAACTTCTGCTAATTCCTGACCTATGCAATCCAGGATGTAGCCTGCTACTGCTCTGATAAAGAACAGACACAGTCTGTGTATTTAGAAGACATTTACACAGCCTTATGACCGCACACAGAAACATTGCCAAAACACGTCATGAAGAGAGATTCTCCGCATGACACTCGTCCGACCTATAAATAGTTTTGGTCTGTATTTACTGGGTGTGTTGTGTTTTTACCAGACAATTTACCAGATAATCCACCTCATTTGACATCTGCGTCCTGTCATGTCGAGTCCATTATGTGCTCAAGTGATAAGTAGGGCGATCCGAGGCAACAGTTACAGAGTCACTCAAGAGGAAGAGACGGTTTTCCTGTGTGAGTACAGTTGTTCTGCCGTCTCTGTTTCTCAGCAGAAACGTTTAGCATGTCATGTCACAGGCTGTATTTCATATCCAGTGTCAAACATCTGCGCAACCGATGCGGGCCCTTACAGCCTCTGAGGGCCAACTGATCCGATTGGCTCTTGTTGGAATAACTCGAGCAAATTAGATTGGCCAAGGCTCATTAATAAACACAATGTTGGATTGTGGGGGATTGATTTGGGCTTTCTCAATGACACCCCGAGGGAGGAAGTGTTGGTGTCCTGCCATCTAATTCTGCTAATGTCTAAAGGGGATGCTCATTTGTTAGTGCTCTTTCATCGCCTGATGTTGAGTATTAGGATATATTCCAAATGAATAGAAATTGTAATAGTATTAATACTACACATCAGTATTAACTTTTTGTTGATTTCAATCGCAATAAGGAAAGGACTCCAGAGTATTGCAGAGTAAGAGTGTGAAATGACCAAAATTGGGGTCAGTTGAGGTTTGTTGGTTTATGAAAATAAGTGATCATTTGAAACTTGAAGGGACAACAATAACCAAGCTTTCCCCAAATATAGTCAAGACATCCTTGCCGAACCAAATAGAGGATTCTATTGTGCTAAATTACACGGTATGCATTGACTAGTCCACTGAACCAACCTGCCTACAGTCTTTAACAATGCTTTTAAAGCCCACTCCAAGATGCATGAGGAAATCCATGAGGGCAACACTTTATCATTAGTGTAAAGTCTGCAAACCTACAACACCATGTTTAGAAGTACAGAATAACACTTTACAGCAAGGCTATATTGGGCCTACAACGTATGTAGAGTTTGCTCATTCTAGGCTGAATTACATCATGCTGCATCTAGATAGAATTGCTGCAATCTATCTCACTTCTCTTCTGCTTCAACCACTTACATTAGTCCTACCTAAAACCTGCATTTATGCAGCATAAGAACATTGTTGTTTATTTCGCAGTGCAGTTTAGATGGAATTCAGCCATCTGCCTGCAATGAAGCTAGCAGTAATTGAGTTCCTGTCTCTGTAAGGCTATATCAAACCACCAAGGCTCAACCAGTGACAGTTAAATTTAACAGAGACTTCTACTCTACCTGGGGGAAAAAAAACAGCCCCAAAGTGCTATAAGTCACGCCCGCCATAAAGGTCCATACATCAGGGGCGCTCGGTGGAGGCGGCATTCCTCCCCAAACACTGCAAAATAAAGAAAATCGTAAATATGTCTTTCCGCTCCACACGGGCGAGACGTGTCAGACTGCAGCTGAACACACTGTGGATATGCCAGGGCCACAGCCCATCTATTATCTGCCCGCCACGTCCCATTTCAAAATGCCCCATGTTATCCCAAATGGGGGATATTGCTGTCGTACTTTATTGTACAGTATGTACTGACATTCTGAAGGGATTCCTCCAGAGATGTTTGAAGCACATCGTAACATGTACAGTGGGGGAAAAAAGTATATAGTCAGCCACCAATTGTGCAAGTTCTCCCACTTAAAAAGATGAGAGAGGCCTGTAATTTTCATCATAGGTACAAGTCAACTATGACAGACAAATTGAGAAAAAGAAATCACATTGTAGGATTTTTTATGAATTTATTTGCAAATTATGGTGGAAAATAAGTATTTGGTCACCTACAAACAAGCAAGATTTCTGGCTCTCACAGACCTGTAACTTCTTCTTTAAGAGGCTCCTCTGTCCTCCACTCGTTACCTGTATTAATGGCACCTGTTTGAACTTGTTATCAGTATAAAAGACACCTGTCCACAACCTCAAACAGTCACACTCCAAACTCCACTATGGCCAAGACCAAAGAGCTGTCAAAGGACACCAGAAACAAAATTGTAGACCTGCACCAGGCTGGGAAGACTGAATCTGCAATAGGTAAGCAGCTTGGTTTGAAGAAATCAACTGTGGGAGCAATTATTAGGAAATGGAAGACATACAAGACCACTGATAATCTCCCTCGATCTGGGGCTCCACGCAAGATCTCACCCCGTGGGGTCAAAATGATCACAAGAACGGTGAGCAAAAAATCCCAGAACCACACGGGGGGACCTAGTGAATGACCTGCAGAGAGCTGGGACCAAAGTAACAAAGCCTACCATCAGTAACACACTACGCCGCCAGGGACTCAAATCCTGCAGTGCCAGACGTGTCCCCCTGCTTAAGCCAGTACATGTCCAGGCCCGTCTGAAGTTTGCTAGAGTGCATTTGGATGATTCAGAAGAGGATTGGGAGAATGTCATATGGTCAGATAAAACCAAAATATAACTTTTTGGTAAAAACTCAACTCGTCGTGTTTGGAGGACAAAGAATGTTGCATCCAAAGAACATCATACCTACTGTGAAGCATGGGGGTGGAAACATCATGCTTTGGGGCTGTTTTTCTGCAAAGGGACCAGGACGACTGATCTGTGTAAAGGAAAGTATGAATGGGGCCATGTATCGTGAGATTTTGAGTGAAAACCTCCTTCCATCAGCAAGGGCATTGAAGATGAAACGTGGCTGGGTCTTTCAGCATGACAATGATCCCAAACACACCGCCCGGGCAACGAAGGAGTGGCTTCGTAAGAAGCATTTCAAGGTCCTGGAGTGGCCTAGCCAGTCTCCAGATCTCAACCCCATAGAAAATCTTTGGAGGGAGTTGAAAGTCTGTGTTGCCCAGCGACAGCCCCAAAACATCACTGTTTTGGGGCTGCATGGAGGAATGGGCCAAAATACCAGCAACAGTGTGTGAAAACCTTGTGAAGACTTACAGAAAAAGTTTGACCTGTGTCATTGCCAACAAAGGGTATATAACAAAGTATTGAGAAACTTTTGTTATTGACCAAATACTTATTTTCCACCATAATTAGCAAATAAATTCATTAAAAATCCTACAATGTGATTTTCTGGATTTTTTTTCCTAATTTTGTCTGTCATAGTTGACGTGTACCTATGATTAAAATTACAGGCCTCTCTCATCTTTTTAAGTGGGAGAACTTGCACAATTGGTGGCTGACTAAATACTTTTTTTCCCCACTGTACTTATTATTATTTTTTACCCCTTTTTCTCCCCAATTGGTAGTTACAGTCTTGTCCCATCGCTGCAACTCCCGTACGGAGTTGGCGAAGGTCGAGGGCCATGCGTCCTCCGAAACACGACCCTGCCAAGCCGCACTGCTTCTTGACACACTGCTTGCTTAACCCGGAAGCCAGCCGTACCAATGT